GGAACAGAGCTTGGATATGTGTCATTTTGTAGAACGATGTTTGGTCTATCTTTTGATAGGTTAGACCTCATGATTCAGTCTTTCTTTTCAGAGCTCAAGATGTTAATATAAAAGTGTTCGAAAGTAATGAAAAAAAGCTCGGTACATGCCTAGTAGGTAGTATTCTTCAAAATTTAGTTCATGTTATGTATGAAAATGAACAATTAACATTAATAAATCATGAACTTGTTGAATTATTTACTGAAGATTTAGAAAGTCATTTTAATAAAACAACAGGTGAAATCGATACGATAACAACAATACTTTCAACATCACTTAAATTATAACAAATATATCGAATAGAATACGTAAACGTCTTCTTCTCAATTAGATGGTCTTAATCAACAAACACTTGAACATCCATCACTTTCATCACTATTACATGAAGCACTTAGACATCTTATTCTTCCATAAATTTGAAATTCGTAAAAACAAAGAATGTTATTAATCGAGACTTTAAATGAGATAAACTCTGTCAAATACTTCTATTACATTTTTTTTCAAAAAAAAAACAAAGTCTCATTTTATATATCTATGCAACATTTATATAGAATTTTATTACGAGAAAGTATCAATGCAGTTATTGTATTTAAGTATTTTCTATTGTTTAAATGAAACAGAACATAAATCGACAAAGCAATTCTATATTCATTTTATATGGAAAAATATGTTCAATAAATTGTCTATTACGTATAAAAACTATTCTTAGATCTCATTTCAATGGTTTCCTTTAGTCAATATTTGCACTGCTAAAAAAATAACATATTGATTATTTCCGTGACAAAATATATATTGATTATTATCACGTTTTACTTTTATTATTTAATAGTAGATTTCAAAAGGTCTGACAAGAGTTGACCTTTTTCCTGAAAATAAGAAACAATTAGCTTCAATTACAGTTTTATATTAACTATCTTTTGTTTATCGTAAATACTAATAGATATTCGACATTAAAAGTAGTATGTTGAAATTCGATCATTTAGCATTCGTTGATATTACCTAAGTACAGAAATTAAAATGACAGAAGTTTTATTATTTTTCTCGTCGACATATCTGCTTTTAAATCCATTAATTGTATCTATAGAAGATTGAAAAGATTTTCAGAAATAAATTTTTGCTATGTACTTTCCACAAGAAATTATCAATAAAGATACTGCAATCTTATTCTTTTGTCTTTTCTTTTATTTGAATTTTCTGCAAAGGGTACGATGAAGATTGAGTCAATTCGTTGACTTGTTCGGCGTCATCAGTTTAGGGAATGAGTGAAAAACAATTGACATCCATTTGTGACTTAACATTCCAATATTCTCTTAAAAAAAGAAAATAATAAAAATAATATTTGATTTGTTTTCTGGTTGTGTCCTTATTTGATATTTTTTTTAAAGACACTTCAAACAATAAACAAAAAAATAAGGCTTTCTCATTAATGCAATGAAACAAAGATGAAGCTATTTTTTTAAGATGATTAAAGTTATTTTCCACAACACAACTACACCAACAATGAATCAAGAAAAAGTTCAGTTAATTCACGGTAAGATTGAATTAACAGTCTGTTTCCACCATTGAATTGTTGTCATAAACGGACCACGTTTGAGTGAATCGAGTGTTGTTTCAAGTTCTTCATATTCTACTAAAGTCGAATAGTCAAATATGAGAATTGAATTCTTTTCAACGACAGAACGATGGCATGTTTCTTCAGAAAATATTTTCCATTGATATATAGCAGAATTTGGATACTTAGTTGTAAATGGTACAATCAATAGTGTTGCATTCGGATTTTGATTATGATTAAATGAGGACAGAATCAGCACCGGTCGTTTCTTTTTCCCCAATGAATAATGACGAACTATCGCAATTTCGCCGGCAGGAAAACGTGTCTAAATAAACAAAAAATTCAAGTAGAAGTGAATTTAATGCGCATGAAAACTATTAAGGATAGGCTATGTATTCTATCGATAGAGTATCGAATCTCTTCTATGTAGTAAAACTTCATCAATGGAATTATCATGACTACGCTTTTTTACAACATTTTGCTCTCGTGTTTCTGAGCAATATATCTCAGGTTTTCGAACTTGCTTTTCTGGTATTCGATGTTTGTTGTCAAAACCATCGAGTTTATTTTATTGTCAAATCAAAATCATTTGGAAATCGATTCCAAGCTGACCGTATTGGACCATCGATCTCGAAATCAATCTAGAAGATATTTTTCATATGAGAAATTGCATTCACAACGAATTACCTCTCCATCTCGTTTTATTTCCTCTACTCGCCTCTGACATTCATCAAAACCTGAAAAGAAAAAGATCACAATTAGGTGAGGGATCGACGAAATAGATCTTACTGTATGGAATTGAATTTGAACTTGGCGATATTTTATTGTTGATCGCTTTTTCTATTCGATGAGAATCGACTTTTGCTAGAAAACAAGCAAAATAAATTTGAATGAAGTACAAATTGAAACTAACGATCTTACTCGATGTTGATTCATGTATACAGCATGATAATGAAAAGTTACGTACAATATTTGTGATTGTCTTCATATATCGCAAAGAGACCATCATTTTTTAATCTAAATTCAGATTAAACGAGATCCAAGTAAGATAGAACCTGTTATGTTTGAAATTTAAGAATAGAATAAAAATAAAAATTAGCTGAATTATGTCAGTTTGTTTTTTGATTGTACTTGAGAAAATAACGAATCAAACACGATTATCGCCAGATGTCGCCAGATAGTGCACACATGTTCCATTTTTGTGTTCAAATAATCAATTCGATGCATTCGATATTATACGTATTCGGAGTAGAACAACCAATATTATTTCTTTTCATTATAACATACGATGCAAAAGTCTTGGTAAAAATATCAAACACTGTTAGACCGTCTTGCTGTCTTTCAAACCCATGAAGTTCTTTTTTGATTGGAAGGAGAAATGTCTGAACTACAAATTTTGTACCAGACATATTTTCCCAGAACCAACCTGAAACAGAGAAAAAGCCAAAAATCTACACCTCTGAAAAAATTCTTGCGACATTTTTGCAACTTGAAAAGTTTGTATTGCTCAATTATTTTTGGCTGCATGAGTCGAATTTGAACAAAAAATACACGAAAATGTAGCATATCAAAAGCTCTATCGATAGCAACTTTGGCAAAATTTTTTGGATCTATTCTTGACTCTTTAGTCAAGACAGTTTGAAACATGAAATTTTTGCAAAATTGACCCTTTTGCAAGATCTATCAGTGTACCAGAACATCAGCCGCCATCTCCCAAAAATCATCCATGAACTGAATTCTTTTTGCGTGCTACGCGGTCGAAATATATCGCATTGTAAAATTTAAGCAGAAGGAAAACAATTGAAAAGACATATTTTTATCATTGTAAAGCGGTCAGGTGGTATGATCGACCAAATTACTTAGACTTCTTCAAAAAAAACTTTATTTTGGTATAAATACCAAGAGTAAATTTAAATTTCAATCCACCATCAGAAAGAGTACTTCTTATACTAGAAAAATCATTACTAAATATATTTTCTCATTTCTCTTCTGATTGAAGAAACTAACAGACAATAGAAAATGATGTTTATCGATAGTGAAGTTGCCAGAACTTTTTTCAGAGGTATTGGTTTTCGGCTTTTCCTCTGTTTCAGGTTCGTTCTGGAGAAATATGTCTGGTACAAAATTTGCAATTCAGACATTGCTCTTTCTAACAAAAAAAAACTGCCTGGGTTTGAAAGTCATCAAGACGGTCTAGCAGAGTTTGAAATTTTTGCCAAGACTTTTGCATTGCATGTTATTTGGCAGTTCATAATCTCATTTAATTTATATGTAGCCGCCATGCTCCTAGAGCAACGCCTTCGTCAAACACTCGATCAGCTCTTCCATTGCTTCAATGTCTGAAACTGCTCTGTAAAGAATATTTTAAAGCATTAAACCTTAACGAAGCATATCTTGATAGCCATTACGACAAGTGTTTCTTCAGAGAATGTCATGATCCTTCGGACATAAACACGAAACGTGGACCTTGGTGAAAACAACTTCACGATTGGGTTCACTTTGATCTTTTGTAAGTCAAGCGCATCAAAAATAATGGAATATATTCAAGTAATGGAGAACCAGCTACTACGAAACATCACCAATTGACTGGCATCAGATATGAACAATCCATTTTTGCCACTCGATGGTGAAAAACCTAACGATGGAACTACATTCAATAGTGGTCATGCAAATCTGACCCATTGGGCCACTTCACCTTCACTTGTATGCGATAGTCGACCAAAATTTACTGCTCGTTCATATTTCAAGGCAAGAAACGGAACAAACTACAATGTTCAAGTTGTCCTACAATATAAACAAAAAACGAATAATATACCGTTCAAGGAGATGGAAAGGCATTCCATACGACTGAATGGACAACAGTACACTACAGTACCTTAGTTCCTTATGGATTGCTTGTACGATTACAGACATAGCATGTGTAATTATTATTGATAGATCGTCTAAGTTATTATGTAAATGAATGATCCAGCTGTTAATGACCGTACATTGTATAACCCATTTTTTTGTGTATTAGAATTTTGAACGATTATAAGTAGTTTTCTAATAAATTGAGGTTAACTGTAAACTAGAGATTTTCATCTTTATCTACTAAGATAAACATTTTCTTATTATCTTATTTATTTTTCACATTTATCAAACCATTGTCAATCACACAATCTTATAACACTAATTTTAAAAAGTCTGCTGTTGTTGTCATTAGTCTTATGTAAGAGAATGCAATCTGCTTTGCCAAAATATTCGATAAATATTTTGTAAGTTATATCACATAACGTTCTTCATTGTTACCTTGCAAAAACAGGTTAAGTATAATCTACCTATCTGCTCTATGTAAAGTATAAAATAACAAATTACAAGGTTTCGATTATTTATGTCTATAGACTTTTAACAAGCGCATAACCATAAGTAAGATATACACCTCATTCTACAATGCTATTACTTTCTTGATCAACATCGAATCGAAGAAGAATGATACAATCTAAGATGAGTTTAGAGAATATATTCCATTGTACACATACTATAGCAACAGTTTGGTTTAGTTGAACTACTTGATCATTCAAAACTGTAGCTTATCCTAAAAGATAATTGAAATCAACGACAATGTGTGTTATATAAACATGTTCGTTATTTTCTTCTTCTGCAATAATAGCAATAGTTATAATCAATTGAATTAAAATAATTGTAAAAGTATATAAGAAAAATTTATTGAAAAAAAATATATATATGTTAGATTTAATACAATCAAATCAATTGATTTTAAAAAAATAAAATAAAGCAGCCAAGCCATTGGAATGTGGTCTTTCTTATCTTTAATCACTTGTGATTACATTATTATTGTTCTTTTTCGTCATAAGAAATTATAAGTCAACAGAGCAATGACTAAAATAGATTGACAGATAAGAACGACAATAAGCATCATTGTTCCAGAACATAATTCATTCGATTCGTTTTTATTTTTTGTTGATTGAATAATTTTATTAATTACTGTTCCTAATTTGACTCCACCTTGAATAAGTCATTGTTCAAGAATAACCATTCGTGTATTATAATATGTTTGACCAAGATTGAATTGTTTTCAAACACTCATTGGTTGATTAATTATTTTTGATATATTGATTTAAGAAAAGAAGCAATAGATTTGAATAAATAGGTTTTTTTTGAAAGTTTTTTTCATACTACACGTTAGAGCCCGTCGAGTCGGCATCTGAAATTTTTCTGTAAATTGGACGTTCAGGATAGAGGAAGAAGATCGATGAACTTGAACAGAAGAAGGGTAAAAAAAAGTGCGATTTTTATCTGGACGTCCTTTATAGACGACTGCATGCAGCTTAGTAGCATGTAATTGGGAACAGCTAAGAGGCAAAAAAACATGTACCATCTTTTATTCTCTGAACCTTATGTGTGCTTCATAACCAACATATGAAGCAATGCAATGAAGTCTATACTGTCTTGCAAAATATCAATTATTAAAAAACAAATCAAACTACAGTAGTCTTAAGTAAGATAAACAGATGAAGGAAATTTAAATGAAGTGTACTGTATTTTAAATAAAATCACTTTACATGTTATTGATTGATAATATTTCGTTTCTCTATGTCGAATCGATGATTTCTGAACAACAAAAAAATCGTTTTATTTTTTATTAAATAATCATCATATAAAAAAAAATTGCACACTAGAACAAAAAAAGAATCACTGCTAGAATTAAATTTTATTTCATTTTCTTCTTGTTTTATTCATCAGCTCGATTTTCACGATTAAATATTTTAAATACATTTTTTAATGGATTATAATCATAATCTTGTATTTTTTCTTTTGCTTGACGGATTTTTGTTAAATTTGTTTCATTTAATTGACATTTTGCTTCTATAAAATGTAAAGCTTCAAGTGATTTTAATTTTATTGCTGAATTAATTGTTTCATCAGCCATCCTGTAGAGAACAAAAAAATAAAACAAGTCAACAAATAAATTTCAAAAGAAAGAAAAAAAACCACATACTGAACTTTGGCATACATAAATGGAAGACGTTCATCATCAATTTTGATGAATATATAGATCGATCAACAAAACGACGAGCTTCATTGAGTCTGTGAGATCGAATACATACATCAACAATTTTGTATACATTAACGTGTATGTGTGCATATTACTACGTTCTTTTGCTTCAATCATTTTTGCTCCTTGTTCAACATCAATAGCTAAGGCAATCATTCACAATTAATATCCTAGTTTGTCAAATAATGTCAGTGAATGATTTTTCACGAAATCATCTATCTTGCAGTTCTTCGTTCAATCTTAGCAATTTCACTGAGGCAAATTTTTACTGCATTTCTCAGTCGAAATATTAATTTGTCATTCTCGTCATACAATATAATATTCCAACAAAGAAAATTAAATACTCTTGTTATTTTATCTCGATGGGTTAATGTATTCATTGAAAAAAGAAGAAGAAAAAAGAAATTAAAAGAATCATTGGCAATATCTTCTCTCTAATAAGCTTATCATTTTATTTCAATAAATTAAATATTTGATGTTTAAGGAAATCCTATTGTAAACTAGAGTCATTTAATCCGACCTGTAGATGTATTAAGTTTGGGCTCGAGTTCATTAGGTCGAGCATGAGTTGAAGTTCAAAAACATATCAGGTTTTTTTTCGGATTTATTTTAACGCAATCATGAGCTCCTTATTTATTTTTCAATGATCTATCTAAAATTCAATGGCTAATAAAGGCATTGGTTCACATTGTATATATATATATACGATAGCAATGATTCCAATAGGTCTGAAACAGTTTTACAATTTATCATTTTTTCCTAAAATATGAACAAACTCATTGTAACCTGTATAGATACATTAAAGTAACAAAATACTAGATTTTGAAAAGATTGAGTATAAGACTGCAACAAATATCATGTTTAATTATTAACAAAAATCAGAATTTTATTTATTCGAGCTTTCGATAAGATACATTTATCATCATCAGGAACAATAGAAAAAGGAACACATTACAATACATATATAAGAAACCGAAGAAAAAACAATATTAAGGTAATTGATCGTTGTTGATTGATTAAAATTAATCTATATAATAATTCGAATTATTATGTTCAGAGAACTATTTCAGGGCCCCCAAAAAAGCCCTAAGGCGTTTAGTTTTATGTGAAAATATTCAATTTGAATTTTGTGTCATTGAGCGATTTTTCTTTCATTTGATGTGTGAATAGGCTTTCTTTTATGACCCTTCTACGCCAATTTGATTCCACAGATTAGGTTTCAGTTTGTTCAAAATTGAAAGCATGCTTTTCTATGTTTACATGTTTAGCAATGTTGGAGAACCTTGCACACTTTTTTATATCAGTTTGATGTTCTTTCATTCTCGTTTCTTTTTCCCTGTTTGTTTCTCCAATGTAGCATTTGTCACAATTTTGACAAGAAATTTTATACACTAATTTTTTATTTCTCCTAGTTTTATCTACTCCTTTTTAAATCGGTAGGAAAACACTTTTTAGGGTGCCTGTCTTTTTGAAGCATACGTTAATTTTAACTAATGGTAGTAACTTTTTACATATTTGTGTGATACGGTGACCAAGTATCCTCGATTCCTGTCCATAATACGCAATTAAGAAATATACTTTTTCTTTTTCTTTTTTGGATTCATCAGGCGAATTTTTTGGCTTACCAAGTAGTAATCTTTTACCAATTATCTCCCCTTCACGTATTCCTTTTTTAATTAGATGAGATGGGTATCCATTTTCAGCTAGAGTTTCTTTCATTAGTTCAATTTCTTTATTTTTGAGTTCCTTCGTGGAACATATTAACTGAATTCGTATTACCAATGTTCTTATTAAACTTAGTTTGTATTCTCTACATTGATTACTTTCGTATAGTAAGTAGAGATTTGTGTTGGTAGGCTTTCGATATAGACTAGTCCTATATATGTTATTAGAGTTATCTCTTTGAATTAGTACATCCAGGAATGCTAGTTTTTCATTTTGTTCGATTTCTTTTGTGAAATGAATATTGGCGTGCCATTTATTAATTCTTCTTTGCAAATCATCTATACTTTGGGAGTTCTTGAAAATACAAAATATGTCTTCTACACATCTGATCCACGTTATAGGCTTATTAGTTGAGAATCTATTTATTTTCTCTTCTAGTTTTGACATAAATAGGTCTGCCAGAATTGGACCTAGTGGAGATCCCATAGCTACTCCATCTACTTATGTGTATGTTCTATCCAGAAAGCGAAATGGCACATTACAAACTGCAAGTTCTAGCAGTTGCTTCATTTGTACTCGATTGAATACTATGTTTGCAGAGTTTTCGTTTTTAAATAACATGTCTAGAGTCACTTCAATAGCTTCGTAGACTGGCACATTAGTGTACAGATTGTCTACATCAAAACTGATCATCGTTTGATTAGAACTGTCTTTGATTCCTATGATTCTTTTAGCAAAGCCAAATGAATCCTTAACATAAGAAAATGAGTGCTTTGGTCTATTCTTTTTGATGATCTGGTATAGATATTTCGAAAGATTGTAATTGTAGGATCCTATCGATGATATGATAGGTCTTAATGGGTAGTTTAGTTTATGTATTTTAGGCTGCCCATACATTGTTGCGTACGAAGAACAAGTTGAATGAATCTTCCAATATGTTTCTTTGTCAATGACATTCTCTTTGAGTAGTGTTAGGATATATTTATTCATCATTTCTTCTTTTTCAATTAATGATGAGTATTTAGTACTTTTAAATTGTTTTAGGTTTAGTATTTGTTCCATCTTTTTTATATAGTCATCTTTATCAAGTACTACAATGTAATTCCCTTTATCTGCACGACATATCACTATATTTTTGTTATTTCGTAGTGAATTCAGTGCACTATATTCATCGTCACTGATATTTCTTATAGTGTTATTTTTCATTATTCTCATACATATTTCTGAGTAATTATATATTTTATGACAGATCATAGAGAACGTGTTAGGATGGCAACGTGTTTGAAGTTTGAAAGCATTTAGTTCCAGGTCTGTTTTGAACTCTGTGAAGTTCGTGACTTTATTCTCGATGCAAAAGTCCCAACCTCTACACAATAAACGTTCTTCTGGTGGTGACAGGCTATATTAAGATATATTATGAACAAGTTTTGTTCGTAAAGAAGAGTAGTCTTGTCCTATTTTTCCTTTATTCAATTTTTCCAGTTTTTTCTTATGTATGGCTATGACTTTTTCCTGTACTTTCCTTGTTCTTTCGTATAAGTATTTTTGGGGTGTGGGTGTGGGTGTGGGTGGGTGTCTGTGTGTGGATGTGTGTCGGCTGTGGATGCAGTGTAACCAAAGAACGCCCACACCCACACCCACACCCCAGCTAAACCGAAAGCATTTGCTGATATGATAGAAGCATTAATTGGTGCATTTTTAATTTCCACAAATTATATTACAACTATAAAATTTATGAAATGGTTAGGTCTTGATACAATTCCAATAGATAAGCAAAGTAAGAATCGAATTTGCTGTGTATTTTATCAATAATAATTTATATAGATCAAATAATAAAACCACCATCAATTCTACATCCCAATCTATCTGACACAACGGATGATGTTATAAGTAAAATTCAAGAATTTTTCAACAATTTCACATTTGATGATATTGAAAAAAAGATCAATTATGTTTTTAAGAACAAAGCATATCTAATTGCAGCATTTACTCATCCATCATATTATAATAATCCTTTTACTCAATGTTATGAAAGGTATCATAAAATAAAATAATCATATACTTATTAAATCTTTGTAATAGATTAGAATATTTAGGAGATGCTATATTAGATTTTCTGGTTGTACGATGTGTTTTCGTTGAATATTATAAACAAGTTACACCAAGTAAAAGATTTTGTGCGCTTTGTTTGTTTATTACTAGAGAATTGTTTTCTTTTCTAGGTCGAGTAACGGATATTCGACAAGATTTATCAAATAATGGTCGTTTAGCATATTTGCTTGTTTCTTGTGATCTTCATAGAAAAATTCTCCATGAATCGCCGTATCTTTTTGATCAAATGACATCTTATCTTGAAAACTCAACACTTTTTCCAAAAGATCAATCAATGAACGACAAACTGGACAAAGTAACCTCATTTTGCGTGAACGAAGATGCATAGGACATATTTTAGCTTCGAAACAAAAATAATAATGAAAATTTATCAGGATTAGAAATACAAGAAAAATATTGTTTCAATCGAAACTAAAAATTATAGCTAAATTCCCTATAAAAAGTTTACAGAAACTCTCTAATTCGTTCGATAATAAAAACGATGCTTTACATTTAATGCCAAGCCGTCTGTACAAACTAGGGGTAGACAAAAAATGGTGTCGGTAGAATAAAAAGGAAATACACAAACAAGTTCATCAAGTTTTTATTTCCTTTATACTAGAGGATGTGAATGTGGATGAAAATAGAATCCACACCTTGATTCTTATTGCGAGAAGGATTCGGTCATAATAGGTTTCGTTGTTAATTCGTCCCTTTCTCTTCAGTCACCATTTTCAGCACTCCTCAAATAAAAGTACTTCTTGCCGAGTATTTAGTCGCTCCCATGTCTGAAAAAATATCGATAGTCCGAGCTCTTATCGAAACGTCATTACTATAATATTAGTTGCATAATGATCAAGCATCATAGAAATGTAGCGCAATGTTTTTATTACCAGATCATATGGAGAGAGTTTCTTTAAGCTTCTTGTAAGAAACTAAAATATTTCTGTCACTATTTTTACTATGTCGTAAGTAGTTTTCTTTAAGTCAGGATCAGATTAGGTTTAGCTGGACTATGATCAAAATCATTGAAAAATTTCTCATTTGTTGTTTTGTAGGATATTGATCAATGGGCTGATTCAACAGCACCAAAAGCTCTTGCTGATGTATTTGAAGCTTTAATCGGAGCAATATTTCTTGATTCTGGATATTGTTTAGAAACAGTTTGGAAGATTATTGAACCTTTACTTCGACAATATATTAGTACATTAATATTGAGCATATACATCATTTTATTTTATTTTTTGTATTTTTAACAGAACGATCGATTAAACATCGAAATGTAAATCCGGTGAGATCATTTTTTGAAAAAGCTGGAAAAATCATTGAGTAAGTTTGAAATACTTTGAATCTATTTTTGTACAATTTATTTGTTTAGGGAATCATATGATGGAAAAGGAGAGTTTACTTGTACTGTTGAATTATCAAATGGAGCTCGTTTTGATGGTCATGGAAAAAACAAAAAACTTGCAAAATATGATGCATGTCAAAAAGCAATGAACAATTTGTAGGACTTTCTTTTTATTCTTATCTATTTATTGAAAGCTTTTTGTTTTATCGTATATCACATGTTATAGTCAAGAGAATATATATATATAAAGAAGATGTCGATTAAAAGAAAATTATTTTAATAATGTGATGAATTATTCGAAAGAAAAGATAAAAATGAAAAAAGAAATATTTCCAAACAAGGTTTTCTTTTATGTTGAAATTCTATTTTATTCTCTAGAGTATTTTACTATTTCAAAATAATGATCAATCAACATATATTCGATATGTGTATCAAATAATAGACTCGAATGAGAACAAAGAAAAGTTCATCACAACATTGTCCTTATTTTTTTCTTATTACTTTGTATAGAATTATAATCTACAATAAACGGAAGAAATGATAGCTATTCGGATGAAGAGGTAAAAATCAAAATATGTTCTTATTTTTCTATTAATCATACAATTTTTGTCACAAATTGCTTCAATAATTTAATAGTGTCACGAATCGACAATATTTTATCTATTGAATGAGCTAAAAGTTTAACACAGTTACGATCATTTTATGGTTGATCACATGATTTTTCAACTATAAAATTCATGTTGTCATCTATTTTTACACAAAAACCGATATTTTTTAACATACTCTCATTGTTATTTGAAATAAGGTTTTTTTTAAGTTCCTGAGGAAAATGATATTTAAATACTTGTTATCACAGACTGGAACATAGGTGTAAATAAATATGATATTAAAGAAAATTTTGTTGATTACTTGATATTTGTGTTAACAAAAAATAAATATGGATTCACAACTTAGTTTTCGTTTGTAAAAGATTGGTTACTAGACATAATATTCAATAAATTCATATGGCCGAAAAAAAAAACTGTGAAGATCAAATTTTCTAATATCTGATTGCTTAATAAAACAAATAATTATATTCCATTGTAGTTAAAACAAATTGTCTTTAATACAATTATTATTAGAAAAAATAAAGATGATTTTGAAATAATATTATAGAATTACTTCGAGTGTCAAATCGTTTATGTAATTTCTAGAAGGCTATGACCTGTATATAAAAGTAATTTCATATTTTCCTTAATTGAAAATTTTATTTAACAATGAATTACAAAAAAAATCTGATATTGATCTACCAAACGTTTACTAGTTACGTCAATTGACTGATCTTTTCATTCCAAATATACTTTTTCTTGAAGCCAAAGCAAAATATGTTCTTTCACATTCAATAGAAGTATCTTGGAAAAGCATTAAATGAAAATAATATAATTAAAAAGCATCAAAATACAAGTAACATGTATTTTTTTTTATTCATATATGATTGATTTTTATATTATTTCTGTTTGTAGGCATTGAAATGGAGAATGGCTAAAAATTTATATAAATGAATATTTTTAACTGCATAGATTTTGAAAAATTTTGATGAGTATCAGTCAATAAAATCTTTCTATCTTTTGAAGGGAAACAACTATTGATCTCGACCTTGCGCTAATCTATAGAAGAAAAACTAGGCTATCTACTCATTTCATTACAATTAGGAAAGTATATTGTCTTCAAAGCAGATTAGGATTATCTTTGAAATTAATGCTGTACTAAAGAAGAAAAGTAACTGGATTTTTCCATCGACTTTGTAAAAAGATACAGTAATGGCAACTATAGATAGTACTGAAAACCCGAGTTATTTCCCTCTTTCTGTTTTAAAGCTATTGAAAAAATGCCCATGTACATTTAACTCTGAAATGAATATTAGGTATTTGTCTTTCGAATTTATTTGAAAACCACCTAGCTCTTCAGTTTTCACGTAGAAAAATAGATTGAACAAATATAAATTCAGATGATTTTAATTAATGTCAAAAATGTAATTATAATGTTATTGTACTACATTTAGATTTATCTATGAATAATCAAATGAATGCTTTTGCATTAACAAAAAGTCGTTTTAGAAAAGTATTTTTCATTTTAGATTAAACAATAGAGAAGAAAAAATACATTCGAAAATTATGTAAGAATTTAGACATTGTTAAACATGATTTTGAAACTCGAATAATATTTCAATAGAAAGTTAAAAAAAATCAAAATTAGTATTTACATATATCGTTGGCAGAGAGGGCTACGATAGCTGTATATTAATCTTTATGTTACAGACTATTTAAAAGCTCATTTCTTCTCAGTCAACGCACTCAAACAACTATTTCGAAGAGTATGTCCGTAACACTTATCACAATTTTTTTATTTAATGGATATGGAAAAAATAAAAAACAAACTTGCAAAATATGATGCATGTCAAAAAAAAAACAATAAACAACTATTAAGAATTTATTGTTTTCGTTCTTATCTGTTTATGAAATGTCTTGTTTTTATTTTATCGTATATCATGTTATAGTCAAGAGAATAATATTTTGATGAAAATGTCGGTTAGAAAAAGACTATTTAAATTATGTGACGAATTATTCGAAAGAAAAGACGAAAATACAAAAGAAGTATTTCCAAAAAAGGTTATTTTCTATTGAAATTTTATTTAAATAAAACTCTATTTAATTCTCTAGAGTGCTTTATTATTCCAAAATAATGATCTATCCACATCTATCTGGTATCTTTATCAAATAAATATTAATGAAAATATGCAAAATAATAATGAATTAGGTTTTATTGTTCCATCAGAATTAATTGAAGTAAAAGAAAAAAAAAACTTTGTTTTGGTTATAAAGAAATCTATTTTCTAGTTACCGACATTTAATGATGGATTATCAAAAATAAAAATTCTGTTTAGAAAACAAATTAATTATTTTGAAAATAAAAATTTATTTGAACAATTTTCAAGACATATTTTTGAAAATGTTTTTGATAATACAACGTTAGAATTTAATATTCAATCTTCATCTTTTAAATTACTTATATGTTTATTAACAGGCAAGTACTAAGTAAAATTCGAGACAGCAAGAATTTCTTAATCATTGTCTGATATTCGAGATCTAGTTTCAAAACTATGTGAAGCACAATGTAACTACTGTTGTTAATCATAAGAGGATTGATTTATTCTATCTATTTTGGGACACTTTTTCTCACAATCCTTTTATTTAATCTTCCAGAAGTGCAGTAAGCAAAAAGTTCATAATTTAGAGCAAGGTATTAGTGATATTCGGTTTTTGATCGAATATCAACAATGTCTTGCACAGTCTATGATAGAAAAGTGACACATTGTTAAGGTGTATGTCATGGTCTGTGGAATAGAAGGTCCAAATATCTCTCCTATACAACTTCAACAATCCTTTCAGATCGTGTTTCATAAAAGTAAGCTTTTATTTTTATCTGATTTAAGATTTCAATGAAATTGATTTTATTCGAATGTTAAATATTTGTCATCGTCAGAAAAAATCCATTGAACATCCATTATGTTTATCAGATACTGAATTATATACTATTTGTTATGATCCAACAAAACCCCTCTTTATATTTCTATCGAATGCATCACAAATAAAACGAGCATCAGATCGTAAGACTAATAGTCAAACATATGCTGATTATTATGAAGAAATAATTCCTAATATTCATATTAATAAAGATTTGGTTATGGGTTCAATGAAAGTGATAAATAAAAGAAAAATAACATTAAATAAACAAGAAAATTCAATTATATCATCCGATCAAACAATTTATTATTATCCAATTGAACTTTTACATTATGCTCCATTAAATCAATCAGATTTTATATTTATTTCTAAATTTCCAAGTATTCTTATTCGACTAGTACAGTTATATCATATTGAACAATTAAGAAAATTATTTGCAGAGAACATTCAATGTTATACTGTAAGATAAAATTCATCGTTTTGTTTTGATTAACAATATTTGAATTATAGTTAAGCAAGTCAAATGAAGTTAATTTCCAGGATTGTTTAACAGAATATATGCAAATAATAAGTTTAAATCTCTTTTGTTAATTAATTATGTTTAAAACTTTTCTTTTTAGGTTTCACTTAATCATCTGAATTATGATTTTTCTCTAAGTTATGAACAACCATCAGCTGATATTCTTTTTCAAGCAATAACTCGACGTTCAGTTAATGAACAATTTGACATGGAAAATTTAGAAAGTCTTGGTGATTGTTTTTTAAAATTAGCTATATCAATGTCATTATATTATCAATATCCATTGGCTAATGCTGGTGAATTAACAAAAGAAAAAACAAATGAAATTTCAAATGAAAATCTTTATCGATTAGCAGTTGAAAATAAAATTAAAAATTATTTATATAATGAAAAAATTATTTTTCAAGGCAAAGATTCAAATTGGCTACCACCTGGATATATAATTAAAATAAATAATAATAGAAATAAATATACACATCAAAAAGTTAAACGTAAAGCATTTGCTGATATGATTGAAGCTTTTATTGGAGCCTTTTTATTATCAAGTAATTATAGAACTACAATTAAATTTATGCATTGGCTTGGACTTCATGTGATTCCGTTAGATCAAAACAGTAAAGTTATTTAGATGATTTTTTTTTTGTGGAACTCACATTATGTTTTTCAAAGAAAACTATATAATGAGTGGAAGTTTCAAGTCTCAGTTTTGCAGTCCCCTCATAGAAACGGAGAGCAGTAGGCTAAAGGTGATTGGATATGTTTCCGGAGTAACTGAAGACAACAGTCGTTAGACTCCTTTTCCAGAGTTCTTTAGCAACAATAAAAAAAAGCGTTGAACTGTATTAACAACAAGACTTAGGTTGTTTGTAGAATATATGGAAACCTTCGTCGGCATTTGAATGGCTAGAATACGTTTGTAAATGTTCTAAATAGTGTGATTTTTTATTTCTACACAATTAAAAATTTCTATTAAAGAGGTCAAAAATGATGGTTAGTGATGCATTGATTTATTACTTGAGTGTAGATATAATGGATATGTACAAGAGATATTTTTATTCGAATTTTAAAGCTCTTATTGGATATTTAAAAGATGTTTCACAAAAAAACAAATTATGGAGAGGCTCATGACATCTCGTCTTATGTCTCTAGGATAGCAATACTAGCTAAATAGATGTTTTTTTTTATTCTATAGTAGATTTTACATTTCTGCTAGTATATCCTTAAGATTAGTTTCATATAGTTTGTCGTTAAATATTGCTTTATTTTGAGAACACTGTTGAGTTGATAAAGAGCCGTTTGAAGTACTTTATGCTGCTTAATCTGTAATCGTTCCTTAAGCTTTGTTGTTTGCCTTAAGTAAAGCTAGATACCCATATATGAGAATAGTTCTTACGAATGTTTTTTAAAGATATTTAATATGATTTTTTTGTTTACGTCTGGTGATGATTTTGAAAAAGAAAAGCATAGTAGACAAATTCTGGCAACAATTTTCGATCAAAACTTAAAGCCAAATATCTAGTTGAATCTTGCAGTGTTACAGTCGCACATTTAACTTTTACTTTAACCGAGTTTTTGTATTTCATATTTTTGGATGAGTACTACACAGTACATAAGTTCGATTTTTGTTGGTTATAGTTGTTTAAGCTTCCAAGCCGAACATCACCGTTGAAATTCATTTATAGGTTGCACAATAGGCTTATTTACCAGCTAAATTAAGAAAAACGGAATACGAGCATGAAAAGCAACAAAGTAAACAAAAAATAGGTTGCACAAAAAAAAAAGAAAACATTCTGTACGTAATACTGAAATCAAACAGATTGTTTTCCTAGCGATCGATTATCCGTAAATAACAACTATAGTATGCTAGAGATTTTCCACTTAACATATTTTGCATTAGTGTAATGAGGCTAAAGAACACATGTAGGTTCCACATTTTACCCTCTCTGAGGACTTTGCTAAAAATTTTTTCATTTGAAGTTCATATTATGTCGTTACCACCAATAATGCCTGCACAACTAGACAATGAAATTCGAAGAATTTTTCATGATGAAGAATTTGAAGAAATTGAACACAAACTTAATTATGTCTTTCAAAATAAAGCATATCTTGTTTCAGCTTATACTCATCCATCTAAATCTAACAATTGTTTATTAATTTCATATGAACGGTACTACATTATCAAAATCTAAATTGTTGTTTAAATGAATTTTTCTAATTTTAGACTAGAATTTTTAGGTGATGCTCTTCTCGATTTTCTTGTCATCCGTCATACATTTCTTAATTACGATAGAAATCTGACACCGGGTGATCTTCATAACTATCTTCTATTTTGTGCATATTTTACAATGAATACATTCTAGGTCGAGTAACTGATATTCGACAAGACTTATCAAATAATAATCGTTTAGCATATATATTAGTTTCATCTAATCTTCATACAAAAATTCGTCTTAATTCAAATGAACTTTCAAATCGTATTAAATCCTATTTAAATAATAAAAATATTTTTCCAAAAACTCAATCAACCAATGATAGATTAAACGAAGTATTCAAAATATTATATTAACATTAAATTTTACTAACAAATATTTTTACAGAATATTTCTCAATGGACTGATACGACAGCACCAAAAATCTTAGCTGATGTATTTGAAGCACTTATTGCTGCTATCTTTTTTGATTCTGGTAATTCATTAGAAATTGTTTGGAAAATTATTGAACCATTTCTTGGAACCCTTTTTGGTATAAAACAAAGTATTTTCAAAATGTTCAAAATTCTTTTCATAATTTTTAGATCGTTCTATTATTGATCCTAATTTAAATTCAATCCGATCATTCATAAATAAAGGTGGTAAAATACTCGAGTAAGTTTTCTTAGACAAGATGTTTGTTTTACTTTTGACCCACTAAAAACTATCAAAGGTTATGAATTAGGATGATTTTTTTTCGAATATAGGGACATAGAGATGTCGGGAGTTTTTGAAAGACTTGAAAAAGTACTTTTAATGGTGAAGTCAATAGGTTTTAGTTTATTTCGAACATGTTAAAAATTGTTGGAATCAATCGTTTTCTAGAGCGGATACTTTTCAACAAAATGTGAGATTGAACTAAGTTGTAGCTTTTAGTCAAGCATTTTCTCAAGAATTTCTTTCAACATGAAACAGTTGTTGATTTTTCAAAAATGAGAATTCATGAAAAACGAAAATGGAAGTGCCTGGTCGAAAGACAGAAAATAATTTCATATAGTATATTTCACAGGGTAGCAGCTTCTAGTCTACAATTTGATACGTAATCAAAGATTCTAACTATTAGTTTCGAATCACAACAGTGAAAATTGAATTTTTGGATTTTTACAGATTATTTTACTACTCTCAAGCAAAAATTGAGATGTGATTGATAAGTCTATGTTCACAAAGAGTATCTTTATTCATAGCATTGCATACTTTTTTAGCGAATCAAACGTGAAACAAACATCTTGTCTAAAAAATTTTCAATCAATCGTTATATTTCTTTTAATTATTTGTAGAGAATTTGTCGATGAAACTGGAGCTGTTTGTCTTGTTCAAATGCCAGATGGTTCACTCTATGAAGGGCATGGCAAAAATAAAAAACTTGCTAAATATGATGCCTGTCAACAGGCAATAAATAATAAAAATTAAAAAAAATAAATCAACTAAATGTTTCTTTTTTTCTGTATCTATTGACATAAGTTGTTTTGTTTCTCATTTCATCATGTTTGTCTTCGCTGAGATGTCGATTAATCGAATCAATCAAGTCCCCATGCATAACATCCGTTCTTTTTCTTCATCTCAATCTGATGTTTTTTCTTTTCCCAGAGCTGAGAGCTGTTTTTTCTTTTCAGTCAGAAGCATCTAACATCGTTGTGTCCTTATACTGATGCTAACCAATTACTGTTACATACCAACCATCTAGACATGCAATTATATAAGCATCAAAGAAAAAAAAACTTATCTTTCGTTGACGTGACATGATTGTAATCTTTATGGCTAATATCGATATTAGATTTAGTTAATTTTTTTATGAGTTTCATACTTTTCTAATCTTGACTAGTAATAAATATATCCTTGTGTAAATATATCGTTATCATCCTTTTTTCATTGTTAATTATTATTAGTAGATAGTTTTTTTATTTTTAAGTAAATATCTATGTTTGAATGAATCAGAGTATCAAATGACCTGAAAAACATACGCAAATACAGATATTTTCTTAAAGAAAGAAAAGAATAATGTTATTCTGTAGCAGTAGGTAAAATCAGATGACATGTACTTCGTAAGATAACATATACTTACTTAAGTATTTATAGATATTTTTGTACTTTTTCTCTTGACATTTCTATTATCAACAAAAAATGATTTTTATATTTTCAAATATTTCAATTATTATTTTTGTACTAATAAAATCTTCAATAACAAAGCAAAATGCATCCATAGATCCTCTATATATAACTGAATATTTTCATCTTATATCAACTATTGATAAACCATTACATTTAAAAAAACATTATGGTATGCAAGAATCATCTATTGATTTTTATCCTGGCACAATGAACATTATTTTAAGTGTACCACATGATGGCAATCTTCGATCAAATTTACCTACAAGACCCAAATATGCTTGTAGAAAATCGAATAGTACAAATAAAAAATGTTATTATCAAAATCCATGTGTATCTCCATTATTTAAAATTGATTCAAAACTGTGTAGTATACGTCATGGTCGTGATAAAAATACTCGTCTTCTCGCATTAGCACTTCGTTATGAGTTAAATCAATTATTGCAACTAAAGCCATTTGTTATTATTAATAAATTAGAACGATCAAAAGTTGATATGAATCGTTTTATTGATGAAGGAACATTTGGTGCATCTAATAGTATGCATGCGTGGATGAGATATCATTTCTATTTGAGACATGCAAGAGAACTTATTATGAATAATGAGAATAATTATGGAGGAAAAGGATTATTATTTGACATACATTCACAAGATCATGAAGAACGTTGGGTTGAATTAGGCTATATGCTAACTAGTCGTCAATTATCGACAAAGGATTACACACTAAAAAGTTCTTCATTAGCATCATATTTTACAACATTATTCGATCGAACAGAACTCATATGTGGAAAAAAATCTCTTGGACATTTTATTACAAAATATAAATATCCAGCAGTACCAAGTCCAACGTTTCCATCACCACTTAATCATTCCTATTTTGAATGGGGTTATTCAATTGAAGAATATGGTCGATATAATAATTTTAGTGCAATTATGATTGAATCACCATCAAGCGAACTTCTTAATCGAACAAAATTATATATATATGCTAAATCATTAGCATTGGCTTTACATGATTATCTTATTGACATCGAACTTTTAGAACCTCTTATTAAACCTAAAATTATTAATCAAACTCAAATCACGAAAGAATGTAATTATAGTAAAAAACTAAATGCTCAGATAGGTTTTTTAATGCTCCTGTTCATAAATATTATTAATAAATTTTGAACAAAAAAAGATATTATTTTTCATTCAAAGAAATAAAAATATCCATAAAAATTGTTATTCTAATTCAAGTAATTGACGTAATCGTTGTCGAATTAACTTCTAAAGAAGAAATCAAAAGAAAAAAATGTCAAAAAAACAAAATTTTTTTTTCTACACTTTACCGATCGTAGTTGTTCTAAAAGAAAATCATTCATTGATTCTTTATAATATGCCGTTGGTATCTCTGTACGATCATCATTTGTATCAGTACTCTCTTGAATAATATCCGGTGCTAATGAAGATGCTAATAACTCACGTTTACCCCAATTACCTTAAAAAAGGCAATCATTTTTTCGAAATTAAACCAAAAAAAGAGAAAAATTATTAAAAATCTTACCTCCAAAACATGAATGACCAAAATGTCCACAAAGACTACTTAAAGCAATAGATTGAACAGGTCTAGTTGATTGAGATAGAAGAATAATGACAAGAAAATACGAGAAACAAACAGGAGCTAAAACAATGGACTGCCGATTCATGATCAATATGGAAATGAAGCTTCAATAGAAACAATCTGAAGAGTAAAAAACACACAAATAAAATAAAATATTCACCTTTACTAACATGTTTTTAATCAACACTTGTATAGAGTATATCATTTCTAATTTATAATAAATAAATAAAAAATACTCATCTCAACACACTTTTTCTTTCCCGCGAGACCAAGCCAATTTGGAAAACTAGCAGAAGTGTATCACAAAAATTCGTCGTGAACCCTGCGTAACCTCGCTATATAACAGTTTAAGACACAGAGATATAGAGAAACATATGTTGTTTCCATAAATAAAAAACGGAAATTAAAGGAAGTATTTTCTCATCACTCCCACACTTAAGTAGATTGTTGTTCAAATGTTTAAATTCTACATATGAAAACTCTTCTATAATTTATCATGTGATCAAGAAAATGAATGTATTATCAATGAATAGGAAATATAAACACTTATTAGCTTCGTATTCTCTTGTGTAAGCGAACAAATGAAAGAGAAAAAATGCGACAATTGTTTCTTATACTTGAGCAAAAAGAATCGAATTGTAGTTTTTAATTGGGGATTGAAACAAAACTAGACTAATCTATGGACATATAAAATCAATAATTGATCACACACATTGACTAATGAATGTTCGTAATGAAACATTCGTAATAAGAAAAATGCATATAATATCATTTCTATGTTAAATAGGAAACAAAAAGAAAAGCTCATATGTTTTTTAGTGTAATTCAAAATTTGACCTAAGAAAACAAATTATAATAAGTTTGTATCTTTATAATTCCATTGAAAATTAGAATTTTATTCAGATTTGATGATCCGAAGCAGCCAAAATTAGGAGAGAGGTAAACTATTTTCCTAAGAGAAGATAATAAAAATTTTCGGCTTTGCTAAGAAAAAAGCAAATCTTGTCATGATTGGGGGCGTATTACTCCTCCGACATCGCTCTCTTTCCTCCTTCTCACCCATACGGGTCAGCTCTGATTTAATCGCCTGCATAGCAAATGAAGGCAATTAACATAAATCAATTCCAAATCGTTAAGTAGCGTCATCTATAAAAACAAATGTCACTTATATTTTCATAATATATCGCTTGTTATTTACAATACTTCATTCAGTAAAGAAAATTTAGAAATTTTTTCTAAAATATAAATTTGAATTTGAATTAACCAATAAATTATGTAAAAAATAAAATAAAGAACCAAAGAAAAAGAAGCACGCCGAGCTGCTGATGTATACTCTTTGGATTCATTATTTTTTATCTATTGTATTGTCTTTGATGGACTCTTGTGTAGTACATTGAGATATGCATCATTTGTACACATTAATAAAATATCTATGTTGAGAGAATATTGTTATCATATGGGTTTATTTTTATTTCAATTTTTTTCATTATTTTGTTTTTTAATTAGACATTGAACGTCCATCATTACATCTATGTATAGACGCGGCGCATCATAGATACATCATAATGATTTTGTTCTGTTCTTTTTTTTTTGTTATATAATTTGTGTTGTCTTTCCTTCATGTCATTCTATATGACCTACATGGCTTGGTTTTTAATGAGTAATAATTGAGAAAAAAAGAGCAAAGAATAATATGTCTATAAAATACAAATTATGTGAATGATTTAGTGATGGATATACGTGACATTAAATCTATTCTTTCGTTTTTCTTTTTTATTCCACTTTCTCTTCGTTTTCATTTTTGTTTCTTTTTTTTTGTATTATAGCAACAGTTGTATTCGTTTTGTTAGATGCTTAGGTATATGTGTTTTATAATAATGCCATCCTATCGTCTTTTGTACGAGTATGCTACGAAAAAAAAGACAGAGAAAAGAAAGAGAACAAAACATACTGCTACGATTGCGAACTACAATAACGCCCTATAGGCCACAGTTAGAAAAGAAAAAAAAAACAATATGAAAAGGGGGAAAAAAGAAAGAACAATATAAAGGACATAATAACGAAGTATGACTGATAGACATGTTTCAGCAAATATACACTGATATTCACTTTTTTCTGACTCTTGTTCAAGGTTTTGATAGCATCCACAAACCATATCAGAGCTTTATGCTATTAGTATAGTTTGTGCTATCCTATTACATTTTTTTTCTCTTAACATCTAAAAAATGCACTTTCACAAAAAGAGAAAAATAATCGATAAAAGTAGAATAAAAAAGCTTGCTGACTGAACAAATATACTTATATGTGTACTGTTAACTATGTCTTTTGTTCTTTTCTTTATGTTAATATACATTTTAAGTATATGCATTTGGCCTGTGTTGAAAAAAAGTCATTACCAGGTGAATAACAGACGTTGCGAGCACGAGTCTCCAAGCAACGATTCGGTAACAGCCCTCATAACAAAAAAAAACGTTTCGTTCTTATTTTTTTTTCACCAAATAAATGTTTCCTCCCATTCTGTATTTTACGTTTTTTTTTCAGACCAAAGTCTCATCACCGAAAGAAAAAGATGGTGGCATCGGTGTTTTTGTTATTTCTTTTCTGTCACAATCCAATTTAATATACTCACTACTTTAAAATTTTTTATTTATCCATTTCACAGAACATATGTGCCTTTCATCACAAACTGTTTCTTGTTCGACATCATCATCTGGTATATAAAAAAAAAACATTTTACAATACTCTTTTGAATTAAAAAAATATCTACATATTCGTCCGCTCTATTCTTCAGCTTCATCAACAACAGGAACAACAAGAAACAATATGACATCAAATAATATGGAAGAAGAATTTTCTACCGAAGATATACTTGTTGATAAAAATTCAATGCCTGAAGGTGATCCTAATGGTAATACTCTACACGATGCTCATGATATACGTTGGGGACCACAGCACGCCGGTGCAAAATTACTTGCCAGTCAATATACAAAAGGTAAACAAAAAAATATATCTCCATTGAGAACATGACCTTGAAAAGAAAGCAAAGCAAAAAAACATGTAACGCTAGCAACCAAATATGTTGTTTTCGATCACATATGTTTAGAATAAAATATTGACTTATTTCATATGATTAATTGTTAGTAACTCGATAGATTTAAATATATTTATTTTCAGTCTTGAGAGGAATAAATAATGAGTTTACTAAGAAAAAAAATATTTTGTTTTTGTAGTATTGAATTATTTATTAGTATTCCCTTGTTTCATTTTCTTAAAGATTTAGCCAATGTTGTCAAAATAACATAGAATGTATTTCTGTTCATAGATGTGAAAAAAGAAAAGTATTACTTTGAACGTGAATTAAATTTACATGAGAAGAAAAAGAGAAAACAATCAGAACTGGTTATTCATATATAGAAACTAAAATTTCTTAATGTATTTTTGAAGTATTAAATGTTGGAGTTCTTGAAAATGAATTCAAGCATATTAAAGTATAATTAGAAACTTCAGCCTAGAGGCTTTTTATATATTATTTTTTTGTTGAAAATAACCTTTTTAACAATGAATATGATTAAAATCTAAATCAAGATTATATTTAATGGGGATCATCTACATTCTTTTACTTCTATCCATGCTTTGATTACACTAGTACTCCTAATCGTTCTTATCTATATTGCCTATGGGTGTGTCTGAAAATTGAAAATAAAATTCCGTTTTTATTTCTTTTCTGATAAGAAAAATCAAGGACACAATGATCTTTTATTTAAAAATCATATTCTTACTGTTTAGAAAAACGTATACAAGAAATAATCTGCATTATCCTATTCATTATATTAATGATATATAATTTTGTCTTCATTTTACTTTATTTTGATGTTAGAAATTGGTATCTTATCATTCCTGCAGCTTGTATGTTGATTTCATTTAAATGAAGAAAAAAAATTCTTTCTTGTTCACATTTGTTTTTAATAGTATTAGGAATATTAACAGCTGATCTAACATCAGGTATTGTTCATTGGGGTGCTGATACATGGGGTTCTGTTGATATGCCATTGATTGGTCGAAATTTTTTACGTCCATTTCGAGAACATCATATCGATCCAACATCAATAACACGCCATGATTTTATTGAAACGAATGGCGATAATTTTGCCATTCCTGTTCCTTATCTTTTGTATATGGCTTATAAATTTTCATTTTTCAATGACAGTGATATAAAGCGTACATATAATTTTGAAGTTTATATGTTTCTCTTGGCTATTTTTGTTTCAATGACAAATCAAGTAAGATAAAGAAAAAAAAAACAACATTTTAGTATTTTTATTTTTATTTTGAATATCTTAGTTTCATAAATGGTCACATACATACTTTGGACTACCTTCGTATATTACTTTTCTACAACGTTATCATATTATTCTACCTCGAAAACATCATCGAATACATCATGGTATATTTCAAAAAGAAAAACGAAATTCTTTTGATTCAGTATTATTTTTCTATTTTTAGTTGTACCTCATGATACATATTTTTGTAGTAAGTTTGTTTTTTAATATTCTTAATAAGAGAAATATAAAATTATGTTCATTATTTTGCATAGTTACAACCGGTTGGCTTAACTGGCCACTTGAAGCTATTAATTTTTGGTCAAGTCTTGAAACAATAATAGAAAAATATTCAGGATCAAAACCTCGTTCGGATGACTTTGCTTGGGCACAGAAAACAGAAAAAGTTCATTATGAATAAAAAATTCTTATCGCGTGTTAATGGTTAAAAATCAAGTGCGATTAATAATATTCTTTTGTTTTTTTTTTTTCTTACATTTTTCTCACACTTCTTTCCTTCGATTCTGTTTGCATTAAGAGTTTTTTTCAAAGCTTTTTTTCTTTATCTTGTCCTTAAATGATCAATTTTTTTTGCATCTGTGATGGCTGTGTGTGCAGAATGACTGAACAAATTAAGAACTATCCGAATTTGTTATTAACATCGTAGTATAGTTGATTTATCTTGTTGTGTGTGCACTTTTTATGTTTGTCCTTTCTTATTATATGAAAGAGCGCGAAAAAGAGAATTTTTTAAAGCACACTATTG